TTGTTTTTGTTTTTTTTTAACTCTTATATTTTAGGAAAGAAGGGTCATTTGTTATCAAGGGCATTGCTTTTAGTAGAAAGCAGTCAAACTTTTTTTCCCATTTTAGAAAGAGACCACAGGAATGAATCCATACTTCTTCCTTATGAATTCAAATGGGAATCTTTCCCTGACTTCTTAACTCAGGACATTACATATCATTAGATACCTCTCTTCAGGAGGGGTCAGACAGCCTCATTACATCTAAAGTTGACAGCTTCCGTTCGTCCAAGTTCTTTTCCTTTCCTTATCACAATCTGAAATGAGAACTTCTACCAAGGAGGGGCCAGGGTTCTCATCAGCCCAGAGACTCCGGTTCCCCTGAAGCTGCCCTCAGACCACCCTTCCCCTGCCCCACAGAGCTCTGATGTGTTCACTTATGGCACCTGCCTCTCCCAGCCTTTGCCCCTCCTTACTGTTGTCATCTAAACTTACTTTCTAAGCTTCACCATCTTTTTCAGTCCTGCTGTTATCTTGGGTGATTCCATATGGATACTTATGGTTAAGTAAGCATATTTACTTCTTCAGCCTGGAGACTTCTTAGATTTCTTCATTTCACCTGTAAGAAGACTTGCTGCATCTCCACTTACTTCTCTGTCCAGTCAAGTTTTCATCCCCAACACTTGAGCTGTCCTCTTCCCAAGTCCTCAGACGGTCCTTTGGTTCTTTCACTTGTTGGAGACCCACCTGGTTCCATTGAATTTTCTCCCTGCCCTGAGCCTGTATCTGATATCTCAGCCCAATGCTATGAGAGAAAGCCATGTCAACACAGACATGGGCACCTCTGTAAATTAATGATCCCTAGGCTTGAGTGATGCCCACCCACCCACCCCCTTTTAGTTTGTTGTCCTTATCAGTTCTCTTGTCCATCGGCCTTTTCAGGTATTACTAGTAATCTTCATGTTCTTTATGTCTGTAACCCCGCCACCTTCCTCCTTATTCTTAGCAGAGGACCTTGCTTCTGACCTCACAGAGAATACAGAAGTCCTAAGAAACACCACCACCAAAGCCCATGTCTGCTTTGCTTTTGTCTTTTCCTCCATCCTTCCTGTCTCAATGGCTGAATTGCTCTTTGTCTTCTCCTACCTGTACTATGGATGCTGTAGGATTCATAGCTAATATTTGTTAACTGCTAAGTGCTCATTATATACTTCCATTGGATCCTCCACTCAGCAAGGACTAAGCTTATTCTCGAGTGTAGTTCCAGATGAGGAAATTAAGGCTTAGAGAGAAATTGTCCCGTGGTCTTATAGGAGCCAGGATTTGATCTGGGGTAGACTAATTCCAAAGCCCATGTTCTTAGCCATCGTTCTGTCCTTTCCTTCCAATTCCAGCTTAGGGGCCTCTATCCCCAATTTGTTTACACTCTGTCTCTTCTGGCTTGTTTATACCAGGGTTTAAATACGCACAAGTCTCTTCCAGCTTTTAAAATGAGGACCCATACTCCTAAAACTACCACTTCCCCTTCATAACTAACATTACCGAGAACACTCTCTATTGTTCAGCCTCTGCTCTCCTCCCATTCAGTCCCAGTCCACTGCAGTCCGGCCCCAAACCCAGAAAAGCTCACTCCAAGTTTGCCAGTGACCTCCATGTTGCTAAGTTCAGTGAGTTCTCCTTGGGCCCTATCTTACTTGACTTTACTGGAGCATTTCATACTACTTTTCTCCCTTCCCTTTGCTTTCCTGTGCCCACTCTTTCCTAACCTTCTCTCTGTCTGTAGCTGCTCCTTAGCCTCGTTCTCTGCCAGTCACTGCGGTATCCGTGGTCTTCCAGATTTGTCTCTAAGCTCCTTTATTCTCATTCCATACATACATCCTGGGTAACTTCATCCGCTTTTGTGGTTTCAGTTGCAGTCTAGATGCTGGTGAATCCCAAGTCTGTATCTCCGTCCTTGACAGTGGCCCGAGAGCTAGACCTTTGTATGTATCTCCCTGCCTGCTGGACATCTCATTTAGTAGAACTTTCTGGAGTCGTTAGCTTCCACAAATGTATGAAATCGGGCTTACCTTCTCGAAGGCAGGATGGAGAAGAGGTGAAAATTGTGAGCTCTGGCATCAGGATTGATTCTGCCATTTGCTAGTGATATGACCGTCCCCCACATGTCAAATGGGATAATGACGGCACCTACCTCACAGGGCCATTGCGAGAGTTAAATGCAAAGTCCTCAGAACCGGGCGTAGAGTGAATCTTCAGGGGACGGTGGCTGCTGCCCTCATCTTGGCCACCATGAGTACTAGCACTAGTGTGGCTGCCATTACGACTTCTGTCTCCCCCACCGGTCTGTCCCCAGTGCTCTTCTCCATCTCAGTGGATCCCAATACATATTATTAAATGACTCCTACGTGGTCTCACAGTCCCTAGAATTTGTGTTCACATCCGGAGACCTTTTAGCTATTGCTTTCCCACCTCCTGTGTAATCTGGTCAGAAACCTGAGGGGCATCTTTGACTCTTCCTTTCTTTAATGTTTATTTTTGAGAGAGAGAGAGAGAGAGAGACAGAGAGAGAGAATGAGTAGAAGAGGGGCAGAGAGAGAGGGAGACACACAGAATCTGAAGCAGGCTCCAGGCTCTGAGCTCTCAGCACAGAGCCCAGTGTGGGGCTCGAACTCACAAACCACAAGGTCATGACCTGAGCTGAAGTCTGATGCTTAACTGACTAAGCCACCCCAGCGCCCCAACTCTTTCTTTCTTATCACATGGGACTTTTCTGCCACCATCTTTAGGATCAAGTTCAGAGTCCTTAATATTTACTTTCCAAGGCCCTTCACCATCTGCCTTCTTGTTGTCCTATTAGGCTTTGGGTCTTGCTGCTTCCCCCACAGCAAGCCAAGATGTGGTTTTATTGACCTTCTGTTGAATTTCTATATCATGAATGAGGAAGAATGGCACAGCTTCGGTATAAGTTTCCTCAGGAAGCTCGCCTTGATTCTAGGTACTACCAAATTCTGGGATCAGTACCCTGCTCTTGTATGTTATAACACTGTGTCCTTCCTGGCTTGCAACCCGTTGGGTGTTCACTTGTGTTTATCTGACTGTCACAGACTGGGAGTCTTGTGGAGGCAGGGACCACATCACTGATACAGGCTGTTATGTCTCATGTGCCCCCACCCTGTGCCTGGCACCATGCTCAATTAAAAAAAAAAAAAAAAAAAAAAGTAGGTGCTCAGAGCATCATGTTAGAGATGAAGATATTAAAACTCACATTTTATGACCTCTTGAGATGACACAGCTCAGTAGCAACAATCGCAGTGGTCAGTAGCCCAGGTTTTAGTGTATCAAACTTGGATTCAAGTTCTCCCTCTGCTACTTAACTTTTCTAAGCCTCAGTTTTTTGTTCTGTAAAATGGGGATGAGAAGCATGTCACCCTGGCAGGGTTGGGAGAACAGAGGAAGGGTATTGCCAGCTAAGAGCCTAGCCCAGCACCTGCCCCTGGTACACAGTCCTCAGGTGAGAGGATTTCATTCAAACCCAGGTCTCCCAACTCTCAGGGGAGCATTTGGTTTCGGACCACATGCCTGTGACATTGTCAGAGCAGTGTCTACTGTTGGTTACACTGGGCTGTTCATAGAAAGTAAAACTAGAGATTAAAGGCAGTTCCGTTAGGGGAATTCTCTGGTTTTGAAAGTGTTTAATCTAATGATTCTTTTTGACCATGTAAATATTTCTAGGAAAGCTAAACTGTACTGAAGTCTAAAAAATACCTACTAGGAAACATTTTCAAGGTTCTGTTTATTGTTGTATAACAGAGAACAATCACATATTAACTTTAATGAAACCTTATCCCTACTTAGTATAATGGCATATGTGCTGAGCTTGGGGACTTGCAAATACCCTTCGTATATATTTATGTGATTGATTTCTCATGGATGGCAATGCCTACAGTCTACAGATTATTTTCATTTGATGGGAGGATATGTATAACCCTAAATGACAAGTTTCAGGGAAGGCTTAAATCTTTTATTGTCTATCACAAATTGGAGCATTGCTCATGAATTGAGGGAGGCTGTTTTGGGAGTAGGCTATCATGGGTTCAAATCCTGGCTCTTCCACATCTCACCATTATGACCTTGGACAAGTTGTTTCACATACCTGAGCTCTGGGTTCCTTATCTGTAAGATGGAGAGACTTTGCTAACTTTAGGGTTTGCTGGGAAGACAAAGTAAGCTAACGTGGGTAAACGACCTAGCACAGCACTTAGTTTTGCTTATAAAAGACACCGGGCATCTTACTCTCAATGTTCGCTCAAATGAATAGGTAACACATCTATTTGGAATGTTTGTTAGCTCATTGTAAAGGTTACTTTTGCCAGCCTGGATTTGCATGTCATACGGGAAAGTTTGTGATGAATTTTTCCAGAGCTGAACTTTTTAGCTCTAACTGCCATTTACCACAGCAGGAAAATGTAGAAGTTTAAGAACTACAGTTCACACTGTTTCATAAGATTTCACACTGTGAAATCTTGTAGTCATTAAGACTTGTATTTGAGGAGGATCAACTTTTGTTATCAATAGATTAGCAAATTGTTTTAAAATTCCCAGTGACTAGCCCCCTTTATTCTGGTAATGCTGTGGTAAATCTGTCTACAATCTACGTAGCCCCCAGTAATTTCTGTATCCTAGAACTACTAGTCATAGGAAGATCTTGGTGGACTTCCCTGCGCTATAACCATCTACAAAGTAGTAAAAATATGAATTTGACTACTGTCAGAATTATTATTGGTACTCAGTTATTATTAGTGCTGTCATGATGGGAACATTGCAAACATAACACATCTAACTCCCTGGAGTCTTTGCTTCAAGCAATTTTTGGGAAATACGGTATTTATAAAAAGAGACTTCAATGTATGCATGGCTATTGGCTGTTAAGTACCTTACTGCTTTTTTCCTGATGTTTCCCCCAGTTAATTCTTTTCTTAATTGATGTCTGTGCTCTCTCTCTTTGTCTCTCACCTCTCTGGCAGTCTTTTCCCTATAAAAGGACCCATCTGTCTAAGGTAGAGATTCTCTATTTTATATACTCATCAGTGATTAAGCTGCATGGAGTAGACATGCTTATCATTTAGAAGTTTCCTTTAACCCTGCTTTTTCAATACATTCGTGCTTTGTTTGTTTTCCTTCAGGTCAAATATGTTCTTTTCAAGCCTGAATGCCAGCACCCAGAAGAATGTCTAATTTCTAATCATAGTCACAGAGCAAAGAAAACATTTTAAATTGCTAATCCATTGTAATTAAAAATAATGCTTAAAAAATGGATGCTCTTTCTAATATGCAACTATATACAGAGAATGAGAGAGAAAAGCTGTTTCTGAAAAGTGATTCATTTTCATTTGATTTTTATTAGACTTGAATTTGAGCGGCAACAGCGCGAAGAACTTGAAAAATTAGAAAGTAAAAGGTAAGCCATGTGGGGTACGGGTTTTAACACTACTGTAGTCTGTGGATTCTTGCATTACTGCTCCAGACGGATTTCTTCGGGTCTGTTTCACTATCTTGCTCTGGCTCTGTGTCAAGTATTTATGTGTTTAATGACTGTAGGTCATTTCTCTAGCTGGTTAGTTTTACCTCATGTTTGAATGTTTTGAAAACAGTACATCATCAAATACTTGGGAGAAAGTGGGAATAGAGTCAGTAGGCAAATTTCATACACTCGTTACATTTAATACGCCAAATGTATACTTATGTTTAATCTAAAAGCATATCCCCCTTAGTGATTATCGCCTGAGGTTTTAAAAAGCCAAAAGAATGACAGTTCCCCTTCCTTATATCTCCTCCCCTTTTAAACATCTTTGCTTATGTTATTTGGCCATTTATATTTCCCTTCTATAATTTGCTTCTTTAAATTCTTGGCCCACTTTTCTCGTGTGTGTGTGTGTGTGTGTGTGTGTGTGTGTGTGTGTGTGTGTGATTTTTTTAGCTGATTGGGAGAGGTTTTTTTTATATGTTCTGAATATAATTATCTGATAAAACTAAGTATTTTCTCCTTCTCCCCACCCTCATCCTGTTTAACGAGCCAAGAAACAGAGTAAGGTTATATATTAGAGTAGAAACTAAAGGCCAGAGAAAATCTGTAAATTGGATATTTATTTTCTGGAACCTGGAGTTTAGAATGCTATAGACCAAGCATGACATGTAACCCCTGAAATCATGCATCTCAGTTTTCTATGGAGACTCCTGCTATTCTCAGTGTTATGTGTTAATAAACTAATATTTGGGGCCATTTGGTGATTACCATTTGTCCTAAACTAGTGATTAAATGCTAAATAGCATGCGGTTATTTGAGCTGCAACAATGAACTGTCGATTATCTTGACTTTGATATTTGACCCCAATGAGTTGAGGACAGCATAAGCATTTTTATTTAATGTCATTTTGTAACTGAATTTCTATTGAGTTTTAGCCATTGGGCTGAATAACATTATTCACATTTAAATTTAAATTGGGCACGGTTCTTTCTCTTTGAGCTCAGGGGGCTTTTAAAATTATATCATGCATAACACATTATGCTTATAGACTCTACAAAGAAATGATATCAGAGGCGACTTCAGGAGATTAGGCAAATGATATGTTGGACAGTTACAGAGTGAAAAAGCTAAGCAGTGTGCTGCCGGAAATGAAAAGGAAAGCAGTTCCCCCCACTTTTTATTTTAGTGAAGGGCCTGACTTTGTGGCACGTGTCCATGTTCAGAACATTTCAGGTAGGGAAAAGTTCGAGCACCATTCGCATGTAGCGAGCAGACGATGATGGGTCAACGTTTGGCATTTCAGGAAACTCATAGAAGAAATGGAAGAAAAGCAGAAGTCAGATAAGGCAGAACTGGAGCGGATGCAGCAGGAGGTGGAGACTCAGCGCAAGGAGACGGAGATTGTCCAGCTGCAGATCCGCAAGCAGGAGGAGAGCCTCAAACGCCGCAGCTTCCACATCGAGAGCAAGCTGAAGGATTTGCTTGCCGAGAAGGAAAAGTTCGAAGAGGAAAGGCTGCGGGAGCAGCAGGAAATCGAGCTGCAGAAGAAGAAGCAGGAGGAGGAGAGCTTTCTCCGAGTCAAAGAAGAGCTCCAGCGGCTCCAGGAGCTCAACAACAACGAGAAGGCCGAGAAGATCCAGATATTTCGAGAGCTGGACCGCCTCAAGAAGGAGAAGGATGAGCAGTACGCCAAGCTCGAGTTGGAGAAGAAGAGGCTGGAGGAGCAGGAGAAGGAGCAGGTCGTGCTCGTGGTGCACCTAGAGGAGCAGCTGCGCCAGAAGCGGGAGATGAGCCGGCTCCTCCAGCGAGGGGAGGTGCAGCGGGTGGAGGAGGAGAGGAGGGACCTGGAGGGCATCCGGGAGGCCCTCCTGCGGGTGAAGGAGGCCCGGGCCGAAGGGGAGGACGATGGCGAGGAGTCAGAACGGGCTCAGCTGCGTTTCCTGGAGTTCAAGAGAAGGCAGCTGGTCAAGCTGGCCAACTTGGAGAAGGACCTGGTTCAGCAGAAGGACCTCCTGAGAAAAGAAGTCGAAGAGGAACAAGAACTCCTGGAGCGTTTAAAGTCTGCAAACGAAGATGACTTCAGAGTGTCGGAGAAGGATGCCGAGGGTGTCACACACGTCACCCAGGCGGCTCAAATCCTCGAGAAGATAAAGCCCGCGGAATACAGGCTGCAGTATAAGGAACGCCAGCTCCAGTACCTCCTGCAGCATCATTTGCCAACCCTGTTGGAGGAAAAGCAGAGAGCGTTTGAAATCCTTGACAGAGGTCCTCTCGGCTTAGACAACACTCTTTATCAAGTGGAAAAAGAAATGGAAGAGAAAGAGGAACAGCTCGCTCAGTACCAGGCCAACGCGAGCCAGCTGCAGAAGCTCCAAGCCACCTTTGAGTTCACTGCCAACATCGCCCGTCAGGAAGAAAAAGTGAGGAAGAAGGAAAAGGAGATCCTCGAGTCACGGGAGAAGCAGCAGCGCGAGGCGCTGGAGCGGGCCGTGGCCAGGCTGGAGAGGAGGCACTGGGCCCTGCAGAGGCGCTCCACCCTGGGCCTGGAGATCGAGGAGCAGAGGCAGAGACTGGCCACGCTGAACAGCAGCAGCGAGCAGTCCGGCCTCCGGGCCAGCCTGGAAGCTGAGCAGGAAGCCCTGGAGAAGGACCGGGAGAGGTGAGGCTGGACAGGGAGAGCACGGCACACCGTAGGTGCCAAAGGTGGTGTGTTTTCCGCCCTCTCAAGGTGTGCGTCTCGCTGTCTTTCTAAAAAAGTGATTCTGTTCGCCTGTGTGTTCTCTGATACAGCAGCCAACGCTTGTGGTCCAACCAAAGCTGAGAAAAGCACCCCCCCCACACACATTTTCTTGCTCCTTAGGATCCTCATCTGAGAATCGTTGGCCTGCCATTGAAAAAAACACTCAAACAAAACCAGAGCCCTTGTCTGTGACTCCACTGACTTATGGAATACGATTATTGTCATATTTGATAAATACGACTGCTTCCAGCTTGCCCCGTCCCCTGTATCTGTCCCCTCCCCTCCCTTTTCTCTTTCCCTTCCCTTCCTCCCTCCTTTCTTCCTTCTGTCCTCCCCTTCTCACCCCCCCTCCCCCGACCACCCCTCCTCAGAATTTTTCCTACCCTCCCCTATTCCCCGCATCACCCTCACCCTGGGCCTAACATCTTCTCTCTGACCAGCACTAGTTACAATACAGCATCATCCCTTCGGTCACAGACCACACAGAGCAGGTGCTGATTTCCACCCCTGTTGGGAAACTGAAAAATAGCCCCTTTCCTTCCCTTCCTGATTCACAGTATTTGAAGGAGGCCCCAGGATTCTGTATTAAAAAGGAAACTGCTAAACAAACAAAATTCTCCAGGTGATTCGTGAACACAGCGAGCGGTATATTCAAGCACGTGTGGTGATGATTTACTCATGTTACTTTTGGTGTTATGAAAAATAAAACTAGGAACTGGCACTATTTTCATGGTAAAGAAAGAGTATTTATCTTCTCCCACCCATTCCCTGTCACCACACTTCCCACACGGTAGGTTCTCAGAAGGAATAAGTGCATGAAGTCAAGAACACGTTTTTCTGGTAGCCCAGCAGACGTGATGCCAAGACTCCCAGAAAGTAGGTAGTCTGCCTGGTGTGCAGACATCACCCACTTTGTTGTCCTGCCCAGCTTTCATACCCTGGCCCACCCCGTTCCTGCCTGGCTGGCCTCGGCAGGCTCTTTGATCTTTGGGCCTCAGTGCGTCCTCTTACAAGAGGGCGGAGGAGACCAGGGGCCTGTGCATTTTCTTTAGCTCCAGACCCCTTGGTCGGTTGAGATCTTACCTGAAGCCCAGGTTGGAGGGCCTGGACCGCTGCCCCTCTCCAGCATTCCAGGCACCCACAGCGCCTCCAGAGGGGCTGCAACCGAAGCCCAGTCGGCTGGCTTGTAGGAGCCCAGCTTGATATTGGCAGACGCCAAGGATCCATACTAACGACAAAGCAAGACCTGAGGCTGGAGCCTCTCTCCATCATCTTGCCTGAACAGGTTGGGACAACCTCCCTTTCAAATGATCTGCTTATACTGTGGGTCCTATTTACCTTTGCTCTCTGGTAATTCCCTCTGGCAAAACAGCAAGAAATAACAATCAAAAACCATAATGCTATTACTTCGGAGAAATAGGTTGGAGTTTTAAGAAAATGATTGCAGGTATGTTATGTAAATGAAATTGCCGGACAAAGCTCCAGCCCCAGGAAATTTAAAGCAGTGGAGGGCACGCTCTCAATTTATATCCTGCAGTGTGCAGTGAGAATGCCACGTGGGCTTTTAGCTTGATGTCCCTGGCTTTTGCCAACCAGCTTCACTCCCTGGCCATTAGTATTAATACTCTATTATAGCGGATACAGTATTGTGATTTCCAGGGAAGTGATTTCCTGATGTCAGCGTTCCTCCAGAAGCCACACAAAGGATGCTTTTGGCTTCATGCGTTTTGATGGAGTAGACTTTGCTAAGACCTAATTCAGGCCAACAAATTCTGAGCTCTTTGCTCTGGCTGTGATGCTACTGCAGCTTTCTGTGGGTGTTGGTTTTGTGTGTTATTATCTCTCTGGGTTCTCACGGCTAAGCCAGGGCCTGCCGTGCGGCCTGAGTCAGCCGCTTGTGAAATCCCACAAGTGTGAAATTTTAAATTCAAGTAGAACTAGCTTAGACAACAGTGCACTGAACTTGGCTTTCCTTGTTGGCTTCCTTATGAGCAAGATTTAATCCATTCTCTGTCATCTTTTCCACCCAGTGGTTATATAGTCATTGGGGACAAGTGTCACGCAGTTAGAAAGTGGCAGGTCTACTCACCAGCCCACTCTGAGCCACTTCGTCCTCTTGTCTTCATATGTGCTACAATCCTTTCCTGGGACGCCCTGCTTCCCTTGCCACCCATAGAAATCCTGTTGGGGCTTCAGGACCCCATGCCAACAACCCCTTTGCTCTGTGGTATCTTTTCCACTGCCCTACTCCTGAAAGATGTCTTTGACCGACTCTGGTACATGTCATCTTAACTATAAATGTTGGCAGTTACTTGCTTATATCTGGCTCGTTTTCCTTACCATCTCTAAGACTTTGTATTAATACTGTTCCCTTGTTCTTGGCCCACCAACTGGCCCCTGATGTCAATGTTTATGCATCTTTCTTCCTCCTTTGAAAAGACTACATGCTGTGGAAGTTGATGCTTAGTAAGTACTTGCTCATCAGCAGACAGATGAATGGCTGAGTTAGGCTGGGCATTGCCTCCATGGAACCCATGAGTGCTGACCCTGGTGACCTTGTAATTACATCCCTGCGAGTTGAGAGCTTGGCTTTCATGTAGGTCCATCAAATTGCTGTTGGTAACACCAGAGAGCTGGTAGGATCATGCTGTGCCAGCATCTGAAGCTAGAATCCTTGAAGTTTGGGACTGAAGGAATTTAGACTAGTTGACTCTTCAGATTGGTGTATGAAAAAATTGAGGCCCAGATTTCATTAACTCGCCTTAGTTCACACAGTGAGGGAGCTGCAGCGCCTATGTTTCCTGGGCCAAATTTACTGGCAAGCTTGGCCCTTCTAGCCTCCTGGCTCTGGATCCAAGCATACCCGGGCCAGCAGGAGAATGAGCTTACACACACTTGACCTCATATTGGATGTATCATTTATCATTGGAAATAAGTGTTTGGTTCTACAGTGGTTTAATTTCTCAAGATACTCACCTTGCCTTCCTAGGTCTCTCTCCTGTTTCCCTTTCCCACACCCTCTGCCTTAGCCAAAGTGGATTTCTAGTTTTTGTGACTTAGGGCTTTGTTCATATTGCTTTTTGTACCTGGAGAGCCCTTAACCCTCATCTCCAAATGCCCAAATTCCTACGGGCCTCTGAAGATTCAACTTAGAACTGCCTTGACCATGCAGATCCTCCTTGGGTTGGTGGTGGTTAAAAATTCTTTAAAGCATAGATCTCTTTTGTCAAACAGAGGTATGTAGGGGGATCCCCATATGTGGTCAAAGACCAACTGTTTTGTTGAGGCAGGGGTAGGGGGCTCAGAATCCTGTACATCTACCTCAGAGGATTGGCTCAGCACTGTGGGAATATCTTTGCCCTTGATAATTAAACTCTCTCCAACTTTTGAACACCTGCAGCATTGTTCTGAATCCTTCTCATGGCTCGTTATCCCCTTATACCTTGTCTGATGCATATGTGGCACCTTTACTACTAGAAGGTAAAGCTCTTTGCAAAAAGTGTCTAGATCCCCCATGGTTTCAAGAACAATGTCTCACCCAGTGAAGATGCTCCGGAAATACTGTTCATGAATGAATTCATGTAACTCCCATCTCTGTAGATTAGAGCATGAAATCCAGCAGTTGAAGCAGAAGATCTGTGAGGTTGATGGTGTTCAAAAGGGGCATCGTGGGACCATGGAGGGGAAGGCTCCTTCTTCCAGCTTGCCATCCAGTGCTGAAAAATCTCACCTGGTCCCTCTGATGGATGCCAGGTACTGGACATTAAACTGATGCCAAACTTACATTTGCCATGTGGTTTAATGACTCACTGTACCTTGTATTGTCCAGTGTGCATGTGAAGGGATCTATCAGAGGTGACTAGTGATAGGTGTCTCTGAGATATGTATACTTTGTCTCCATAAATTTATTGCCTGGGGGGAGAGGTATCATTTGAAGGGAACCAAAGATCTGAGGACTGGCCATCCAAATCCAAGGCATTTTGGAGTAGTGTTGTGTGAGAAGGTAGAATTGGAAGGTCCAGGGAAACCACGTCATCTAGAAAGGAGTGAACCAAGGCCAGGCTGAGAGGAACAAAGAAGTAGAGTTAATTGAACCATACCAAGAAGAAGGACCTCGTGCTGACAGTTAATTTATGAAGTCATTAATTACAAATAGATGAAGTCTGTTACAAAAACTGTGCCAGTATGTTTGGAATGGTCATGAATAGCATATATACCTGATGTTACTATAGTAAAATGGTTTTCAACTTGAGTGGTATTGTAAATTGCTCTGTGACTTAGAGCTTTCAGATAAGTTGACTTAATCATTCTTTGCCTATAAGAAAGTGGATTATTTTCGTCAACTCCAGCTGTGTCTTGGGGGCATTTCAAATTGGGCAGTCATGAGCCCTGGGCAGTAGGTGACATGTATTTGGATATCAAAAACTACGAAGAATGGTATGAGCCTCTGTGGCCCCTTAAATCTAGGTCTGCATCTTCAGTGGGGCTAGTTTAAACTCTAAGTAAAAGGTCCAGAGAAGTAATTCATTTGTAAGTGCCCTAAGCTCTGGGTCAGCTGCACATGATTTTTCTTTCAGTATTGAAAGGTAACTACTACATTTTATTATCCATTCTTCTGTGCTCTTTTACTTAAAATATTAATCTCTTTGCCTAACATTTCAGGAAATCATCAAGGCATGGTTCATAGTACCGAGATGTTTCTAGGAGTGCACATGTGCTTAGAAAGATGAAACCAGATTATTTTTTAGTGTGCTAAGAAGTAAACATGCAAAACAGTTAATTTTAAATAATCCATCTAATCGGTGTCTGTATGGGGGAGGGAGAGTCTGGAGCTAAGCAAGCCTTCCATGTGGGCAGTCTGAGCCACTAGAAAATTTTAGCTGGAACTAAAATTCTTCGGTCTTCCTGGTTTCTCTGGGTGGATGGTTGTACTTCATACACGTTCACCTCCATTCTCTAGGGTACCATATATTTAGTTGACAACTGCTTCAATCATCAACTGTTTCTTGCTTCCACTGTCTTGGCCACATGCCAGGCAGTTTGAAAGGTAGAGGGGCCTTTAAAATGTGGTTTCTCACAGCCAGGTACCTATGGAGAGACACGATGGAGCAGAAACAATTCAAGCCATTGTTCCCTTGGAATAGTGAAGATTCATAGAGATTGTGTCCACTCTCCCCCTCCCCTTTAATCCTCTTAAATGACTTTATGATATGAGAAATAACACTCACAATTTTCCATGTGAAGAAACTGAGGCTTGGTGAATGAAGTGTGGGTTTTCAGAGTCTGGTCTGAGGCCGTGGAGCCTTCTGAAGCCAGCGTCTGTGATTCTCCTGGAGCAGGGGTTCCACCAAGGAGAGCCAGGAGAGATGTGGATGGGATCATGTCGTCTCCCTTTTATTCTCAAGATTCTGTTATTAGTCCACTTCTCTCTTGTTTGGAGAAAACCGAGATCATGAACACATGGCACTGCATTTCTTAGAAAGTAGAAAAATGGTCAAGGTCCCGAGTTGTTATGTTTGATGTTTAGAATGAGAGAGCACCTCTTTTTGAAGGGTGTAGTAAACTGAGGATCTCAGATGCCCTCTGTGGTTAGAAATCTTTAAGTGCCACCTCCCCCATCTCTGTTGTTTGCAGGATCAGTGCTTACATTGAAGAAGAAGTCCAACGACGACTTCAGGATTTGCATCGCGTGATTGGCGAGGATAGCAGTGCATCTGCAGATGTGGCGAGGGTGAGCTGAGGGAGCCAAGCCATCAGTCATTTGTTTTATTTTTTTAAGTTTTTTTTTTTTTTTTTAATGTTTATTTGTATTTGAGAGACAGAGACAGAGCGTGAGTTGGGGAGGGGCAGAGAGAGAGGGAGACAGAGAATCTGAAGCAGGCTCTAGGCTCTGAGGTATCAGCACAGAGCCCGACGCTGGGCTCGAACTCATGAGATCATGACCCAAGCCAAAGTCGGATGCTTAACCGACTGAGCCACCCATGCACCCCATCATTAGTTTTCAAGGTGACCTCTCCATAAGTTGGTGGAGGTAGTGGTGATGGGCCCCCTTATTATTGTTTCTCGGTGAGAAAACTGAGATGCAGAATGTTCTCTAAAAATTAAATATAGCTTGGGTGGAGCTTAACATGTTATAAATAGTATTGGTTCAAGAGAAACTTTGTTTATTTAAGAATTTTGTACTTCTGGGGGAATTCTGAACTGAATATAGAGTCTACTAAAATGCTTTATTTACTTTGACTTATAAAGATTCTACATGTAACATTTTTCCATTTTCTCCAAAAAATATAACCAATTTCCTTAAGTATTTAATTTTGCTTGATAAATTATCCTGAGTAGATATATAATTTTGCTTTTGAGAAGATACGTATTTGCGATGTTGATTTTTATCAAAATAGAAACATTTCATTCCTATTCCTCAAGTTAATAAGGGTCCTAAGGAAGTTTTATTTCATTTATTTAATTTATTGAATTTTATTTAATATGTTCATATTATTCTTAGAATTTTAAGATTAGGAATAGATGCTTCAGTTCCCTTACAGGCAGATGGAGCAATAGAGTCATACTTACCTTGGGAATATAAATTCTATAGAAGGGATGTCATTGTTGAGTAAGTATGTTTCTTTAGAATTTTGTTCCCATAAATATTTCTAATCAAATCAGTTTCTTTTCCCTCTATGAACAAGCTATAATTTAATATAGAGCGCTTTTTATTTTCTTATCAGGATAATGAGAAACTCCACAATGGCACCATTCAACGTAAGCTAAAATATGAGGTAGGTAATGATTTTTCAGATTGATAAGGTCGCCTTAAATTATGGCATGCTCGTGTGATTAAATTTTCTTAATGTTTGGTTGCGTAATTAGAATTTTGAAGTCCCAGTGAGATTAATGGCTAATAGGGAAGGCAAGCTATTATATGGACTTAAAATTAAACGGAATCCTGCAGGTTGAAAACTGCTTGGACTTTATTTGAATGGCATGTAACTGTGGTGGAGGCTCCTTGCCCAGTTTTTCATTTGTAACAGTATCCTTTCCCCTGGTCTGCATTTAAAAGGCAGAATTATATAATCAGAATCAGATATGGGGTTTGGAAATGAAACTGAACACTTCTCAATGTTTTAAAAACCCTGCTCATTTTATGGACTGTGAGTTGGCAGTAGTACAAAGGACATACTCTTGGTTGATTAGCTTATTTCTCTGGTGGATTGTCAAACCAAGGTTTATTTGGGCATACGATTTGTAAGGTTTTACTTATAGTATTTTCTTCCACTGAGGGACCTGTCCTTCCCATACATTCCTAAATTAAAAAACAAAACAAAACAAAAACAAACAAAACAAAACTAGGTGGTAGAAGTCTTACAGATGGCGCCCATATATTACAGAACAGAGAACAAGAGGTGAAGGGCTGGGTGTCCCACAGGAGGCTTAGCTGACTTTGGCCACTGCCACGCCTCCACCCGGCTGGTCCAGTAATGACATTGTCTTCCTCTAGACATCCTTCTCTCTAGCAGATAACCTTGTGAAGTGTAGGACGTTGCCTGTTATTTCTTTGTGTCCACTGTGCCTGGCCTGTAGCGGGGAAGCCTTTCACAGTGCTGGTTCGTAGCTCTGGTCACGGCAGTCTAACCAGGGCAGGTATAATTAAAGATTCCCATGAAGTGAACCAAGAGGCAAGAGAAATATGACTGAGGTTGAAATACTTGTCAATTTCCTTTTGGCCCTGTCATCTGATTTTCATTAAGTGTGCCCTGATTACTTTTACATTTTGGACATACAGTCATGGACTTATTTTCACAACTAAGTCTGACCTTTTGCAAATTGAGTCAAAGATCTTAGGATTTATTTTGGAGCAATTGAAATATTAGACCAAGAAGTGGATACTGTGGATCAATCCCGCACAACATATCTCTTTCAAACACTTGGCAATTTGTAAGATAAATAGTATGGAAATTGATGTCCTGTGTGTGAATCAGATCATCCATTCTTAAATCATGTATCAATCAATATGAATAGCTTAGGCTTTCGATTTAACCTCTGCATTAATCTACACAATGAAACCAATGACTGCAGGAATCTTCATGTGCAAAAAGATTTGCAAAAGATGCTGCCAACCCCCATTTCAACTGTTTTTGACATCTTGAACAGAAAAGGTATCTTGCCCCGCTGCTGCCCAGAGATGTCACTGGCCCTTCCAGCAGAGAAGAGGGGAGGGAGGTGAATCGGAACAACCATCCGGGTCCTCCCACGACACAGAGCATCTCGGCATCTCCTGCTCCCTCCTCAGCATCGTGCGAGAGAGCCCACCAGCGAAGACATCGGTCCTCCGTACACAAGGTGTGGCAGAACAGTGATCGTGGATACGGTCATCCTGAGTGTGCAGGCTGTTTCCAACCAAAACGTTTCAGTCTACATGAAATCACATTTCTTAACAAAAGCAACACCAGTGACACAAAACATCAGCATCGATCCGAACATCTCAGTGATCTGATGACTCATAAAGATAAACACAACTTGGGAATCGAGTCCAGCTGGACTTTGCTGCAAGATTTGTCCCAAGAAGTGCCTCTACATAATGGAAGCAAGCAGACCAGGCAAAGCAAGTTACTCTGCTTGGTCCTCTCTGAAACGGTTTCTGGTGAGGAGGGTGCCTCCCACAGCGTTCCTCAGCATGCACCCGCCGGGAAGTTTTGTGGTGAGCAGCAAGTCGAGAGAGAGTTAGATGCTAAAAAAGCTAACTCTCCACAGTCCCTGATAAATATCAGGACAGAAGGAAACAGCGGATTGGGCTATTTTTACCACAGGCTGGCAGACCTTTATAAAGATACCAGAAGTCACCTGCTACAGGCTGGCACAGAGGTGATCCGCCAAGCCGGGCATATAGGGAACCTGTGTGACCCCAGGGGGCTCACCTCCCATGTGACGACATTTATCAGAAGACTACCATTTCTGAAACACTTTCCCCTGGACACGCCCCTGAAGTCACAGCAGGCGTCATCAGAGCCTTATTCTTTCCCCAGAGAAGCTCAGGCTGGCAGCAGCGATCCTGAAGAGGCAGGAGCCGCCAGGCCAGCAGAGGGCACCATGCCTTTCAGAGCACCAGGCCTCACTGCTGCCTCTGCTGCTGCAGGATCCCCAGACTCCTCCGCAAGCTCAGTGCTGCACCTAGAATCTGAAGATTCTGGAAGGAGACCCGCATTTCAGCAGACTCTTGTGCGATTCCCAGCCCAGATGCTGAAACTTCAGGAGCAGCCTCTAAAAGACTTTCTTGAGCACGTGGCTTGTTCCGTACCAGAACTCTCAGGCGACATAAAGGAAGTCAAAGGTGTTTACTGGCTTGCTGTTGCTAACTGCACAGAACCTGACCCTCAGCCAGCATGTTTGCTTCTGCTTCATTCCATGCTATATGCTTTGGTTCTGTCAGATAACCCTTCAGCCTCAATGGGCATTTTTCATGCTCTGCCTCTCTCTGGACTAGAGGAAATCCAAGTCGGCTTTGGTGGGCAGAGCATCAGACTCTTGGGCTCTGCAGAGAGTCTCCTGCTCACCGTATTTAGTTACAGCAAAACCCTCTGTCAGCAGATTTGCGGTGACCTCCTGTGTGTCCTGATGCCCGAGTCTGATGCTGCTGTCCGCACTAATCACCCTTTGTTCCAACAAGATCTGGTTCAGCTTTCTCTTGACTGGAAAGCAGAAATCCCTGATTTAGTTTTGGCAGACGGTGTTCGGTTGTCATCTAGATTCCAGGATACCTTGGTTGACATGATTTACTTTCTTCATGGAAATATGGAAGTCAACATCCCCTCTCTGGCAGAGGTACAGTTACTGCTCTACACGACAGTCAGAGTTGAGGGTGACCCCGGCCAAGACAACCTCCAGTCGTTAGTCCTTCTGAACACCCACATTGCCCTTTTGAGGGAAGATCGAGTTTTCTATCCCCACACTCAGTCTCTAAACACACCTTCTCCAAGAGCACAGTTTGATGTGACCAGATGTCGTGCTTTAAGCGAATTCAGGTATGTCGTCGTTCCAGAGAAGGAAACCTTGTCAACCGTCCAACTTGTCTTCCCAGAAAAACTCAGACACCCATCAGATTCAAGAAATAGCCCAGCTGAGCACTTTGAAGGAGCCCAGAACGTCCATTTGTTCCCTGGCATGCCGTGTCCTGAGGGCAGTCAGAACGTGGCACCCGAGGTCTGGAAACTGACCCTCAGCTCTCAGGATGAGGCTCTGTGGCTCATCGCACACTTGACAAGGCTCTCAGGAGGAAACTTATAAAAATACTTGGCATATTTTTTGAGATTTTTAATAAAATGAACATTATGAGAATAGTCAAGGACCCGGAAAAGCTCTGTGTAGCTAACTGATTTGACACTAGAAAAATGCAGACCTCTAAAATTGAAAATGTAAATATGTTAAGTATCTACAATTAAAAAAAAAGGCGGGGGTAGCAGAGCACTGATAAAATATCTTTATCACCACCCTGCTTCCTTTTCTTGAACCTCAGCCTTGTAAATTTGGGTCTGCCTCATTATTTGTTAGGTGATTAAAGCATTTCTGATTGTTTTTGGCTTCATGTCGACTTCTAGTAGGGTGGCTTGGAATCTGTCTGTGTCTGCTGGATTCCGGCAGGCTAATTTGTGCTGCTTGAAAAAGTGCCCGGTTGGCAGTGACCTTCACTGACATCCTCCGTTTTAGCCATGATTAGGACAGCTCTGTAGCAGAGCACATTAGTAATGCATCAAGCTTCCTGGAAGGACCCAGGGATTTAAAATACCCTCCTCTCACTATAATACATGGAATGGAGACAGCACCACATGCCCTGCGGTGTCTTCTTCCTCAGTTAATTGCCTTTTCCTTCCTCCTTTCAGACTTTTTGACTATTGCTTTCCAACCTATGTGCTTTCAACTCCTTACTTGTTGGTTTAGCTTTGACTACCCTTCCCCCTATGCCACATGCCCCCCCCACATGCCAGGACTTTCTCCGAGCTTTTATATTTCTGTCCTGGAAAGACTCTTCATCTTCAAGTCCTGACTTTTTCTAACGGCTTCTGTAAGCAATCTTATCAGCTGCAGGGTCACCTCAGAAGGCATTTGGCTCTTTCCTCTGGCCGCCCTCCCTCTCCACCTCCCACCTAACACATCATCACTCACAGCCGCTGACCAGCATGTTCTGCTGGCCCGAGCTGGTCCACTGGCCTGCCTTCTGAGATGAGTCATGCCCATGGCAGTCTCAGGTATGTCTCTCTTCACAAAGTATGATCCGGTACTCAGCTGCCCTCCTCCTCTGTGAGAGGCTTGAAACTGGGCTCTTCAGAAGCTCTCTCTCCTCCGAGTGACCCTTTCTTTTTTATCCATCTCTGTTCAACATTCCTATGAGGAATTGCGTTGCGTGCCTTATACTTATTAGCTATTTCATCGGGTCCTAGGTTTCACAGCCAGTGTTCTCCTGTTTCTTGGATGTGTATGTTCTACTAAATTCCAGAGTCTTAGAAGGAAGGAGGTGGATTCTTCACTGCTCCATCCTCTCTCTTCCACTTCTAGCTGGGATCATGATGAGCTCCTTGTAGCTACTCATTGAATGTTGCGGGCAGTTCAGCAAATCAGCGATTCCATGAAGCCATTTATATTAGCCTTGGCATGGAGGGGTCATTCTTCTGTTCTAGCGAGACCTTTGGATGATGTACAATATAAATGCCATAGCCCTCTCTTCATTTCTACTCCTGATCACTGATAGGGGCAGTGTCAAAGCTTAACCCAGAAACTCGCCGGCTCC